CTGGTTTCAAAGTATAAATCAGCCTTGAGCCTGCCTGTTCCAGTGTGATTTGTTTGGTCTATGGACTCCTGATGGATTTTGCATGTTTGAAGAACTCAGGGCTGTTTCCTGTCCCTGACCTGGATTTCCCTCTGGAACCTCTTCAGAGTTCTGATCTTAATTCTGAGCATGTCCTCGCCCCTGGCTTTGCCCTCTTGATTATCCTGCCCTCCTTCGTGTGCCTGGATCTGTTCTCCTGCTTGTTCTCCGTCTTCCAGGGCTGTGGCGTCTGTGACACCCTGGGCGGTGCCCACCGTTTCTTGTTGGCAGCCCACCAGCTGGATCCTACCACATACTCTGGGCATGGACTGAACTAAACCAGGTAATTGATTCATGTTCATAATCTTCCTCCGCCAGATTGATGTGGTCCCTGACTTGTGTTTCCTTTCTGATGAGGTTACTGCCTTAAAAACCCTAGCTGCTTTTCCTGCAGGTCAGTTTATTAATAAACGCTTTTGAATTATCTGTCTCCTTGAATACTGGGTCCTCCTGTTCTGAGCCAGGACATATATCCCTTCATTTAAACAACAACACTACAACAAGTAGTAGTACAAACATTAAGTTTATCGCCATTACAGCCTGAACCATTAATGTACACATAAGAAATGGTGTTACCATAATTAGAATATAGCATTACTGAAATCGTCCAGTTTTCTTTAGCTTCTTCAGTCTGTTGTTGATCTGATCCTTTGTCCAATAAAACCAGTATTTTTGAACTGCTGGACAACATATATACACATTTTGTTTTAGTTCAGTTGTTTTTCTCTTCCTACCATGCTGACTGTCAACAGGTATCTGGTGAGCGATAAGTTGATAAGTCACTGTTGACTTATCAATCACTCTGAAAAACCAGCTGGATATGAGCCAGAGTTTCCACTTCAAGAGTTAGTGACCATGTTTTGGATATGGTCAAGACATACCAGACTCTGTCAAGACATACCTGGTTTGACCAAACATGGTCAAAACAGGTTTTGACCATGTTTGGTCAAAACAGGTGGAGCCTGTTTTGGAACTGGCACAGGCTACGGACCATCTCTGTCACAACTCAGAGCAGAGGACCCTAGTAGTCAGGCGAGACAGTGGAATTACTCAAAAAACGTTTAACTAAATAAACAGGCAGCTGATCTGCAGTAGCAGCAGCTAGGGCGTCAAAGGCAGGAAACTCTGGAGGGAGGACGATAACCACGATAACCTGATGGAGGAGGATATGAACACATAAGTCACTAACCTGGTTCAGACACAGTCCGTGCCCAGAGACCAAGGTTGATACCAGCCGGTCGGCTGACATATGACTCAGCAGTTGCTGCATAGGGTTCCAGATTCCGGAGCCTAGAAGATTACAGAACTGACAAGAGATCAGATCCAACTAATAAAGGAGTGTAGGATAATCCGGAGGGCAAAGTCAGGAGGTAGATCCAGGTACAGTCCACGAACAGAATTCAACAATAGTCCGCAGACAGGTCAGGCAAACAGATCCGAACAGGCACAGCCAGGCCAGAGGCAGAACAGGTCAAGATCAGGTAATCAGAATCCAATCAGTAGCACTAGAATGATTCTCACACCAAAGGTTCAAGAATAATCTTGCACTGATGACTGGCAGCAAGCAGTTAGAATAGAAGCTCGAACAGGTGGATATTATGAGTGGTAATGAGAAACTGGGCGGAGCGAGGCAGGAGAATGAAATGTACAATGATGCCAACCATCATGACAATCTCAGTCTTTTCAATTAATCATTTAAATATACTAGTTAGTCAGTTCACTCAAAAGAACTTTTGTTCCCATCACTAGTGTGAATGTAGCATCACAAACAAACCTTGAGAGTGCTTTTCCCTTGAAGCCATTGTTTAAGACCTTACGTCAGATGTCTTACTGTTGCCTTCAATACTATCCATTTACATGCTTCATTTACATTATGTTACCACAATGCACATACAGAAAACACATCCATGTTTTGTTGAAAAAACCTGTAAAGTAAAATGAGCACTGAGAGTTGTTATACAAGGAAGAAAAGTTTTATTTTACTCTGCAGAGGAGAACAACACATACAGCTGAACTGTTAGTGAGGCTCTGGTGGGGTAGCTTCCCACCCCTGCATATAAGGAGACTCCACACACACAAACAATGAGTCTTCAGTTCATCAAGGACATAAATTTTAACCACAGCATGAACAAGGCTTTGTGAACTCATTATCTCTCATGTCCTTCCCTATACCCTTGTCTTGAGTAGGGAGGCATCTGCTTCCTGCCCCCCTAAACAGTACAGTATAGTGAATAGTCAGGATGTCTCTATCATTACTCCTACTCAAACAGGCACACTCAAAATATTTTATCTGAAAAAAATAGGCCAAGGAAAAATATGATTCCACAAACCCTTCCTCTTTTTATGTGTATTCAGCTTTGTCCTTGCCTGTCTGAAATGGTTATTCACCTGGAGGACCCTCAGGCTTATTTTGCTCTGTCTTTCAGAAAGTCTTTCCCATCCCAACATGCTACACTGGCTGCCTTTGCTGCTGTCTACATCTCTGTAAGTATTTTTTTCTAAGAAAAAAACTTGTACAGTAAGTAAATTTAGCTTGTAACATAAAATTTAACATATGCTCAGATGTAGTAATGAACATTCTTTGTTTATGGTGTCTCCTTAGATGTACTTTAACACAGTGCTGACAGACTCAGCGAAGCTGCTGAAGCCTTTGCTGGTCTTTTCTTTTGTCATGCTGGCCATCCTGGCTGGATTAACCCGGATCATTCAGTTTAGAAACCACCCCGTGGATGTTTACTGTGGCTGGTTATTGGGAGCTGCCATCGCTGTTTATCTGGTAAGACTTATCTACATTTAGATTTCCATTCATCCATTTTCTGTCACGCTTATTCCAAGCGGGATCGTGGAAGTGCTGGTGGCTACGTATGTTCAGTTATCTCTGGGCGAGAGGCGGGGTCCACCCTGGACAGGTTGCCAGTCCATCGCAGTGGAACACAGAGACAAACAGGACAAACAACCATTCTCACACACTCACCTAAAAATGATGGTTTTGGAATGTGGGAGGAAGCCGGGGTACCCGGAGAGAACACTTGCATGCTTAAGGAGAATATGCAAACTCCAAGCAGAAAGAACCCAGAACCTTCTTGCTGCAAGGCAGCAGTGCTACCCACTGCTCCACTGAACAGCACTGCATTTAGATTTAGAGATTAATAATATTGAAAGATTTAAATGAGATAGTTAAGCCTTTTTCCCACTAAAATTAGCGGTTCGAAAAGCCCGGGTCGACCGGCTACCGGCAATAAGCTTTGGCTCCCTTCCCATTGGCCAAGAATGCTTAAGAAATTTGGTATGATGGAAGATGAAACTGAAAGGACACTCCAATGTCTAAATCCCATTGCTTGCTTTGCCCATTTGGCTTGTCATCCGAGCCGGGGTAGGGAGAGAAAAGGCACCTGTGGAGTCTATGTTTAGGCTATCCGTGCTACCGTACACATAGCACATCACAGGCTTCAGATTGATAATGCTATATGGACGCACTATCAATCTGATCTTGATTGGGCTGAGACGCAAGAAGCAACAGCCAGTCTTAAAGGCGGAGTTTAAAAGAGAGCAAGGTGGATGCAAGAACAAAAAAAAAATCCATCTTGTGGATGTAATAGTCCCTGAGCAAGCCTTTTAGGATAATACTATAATCAACTATATCACAAACATATCTGAAAGATCTCCTCGCTCCTCTGGGGTTCAGTCAATTCTAGTGGAATGCCATATGTGCACTATAACCAACCAGTAGACTTACCCAATATTGTATACTTAAAGGGGAACACAGTTGTTTTTTGTTTTTTTTTTTACATTGGCCCCTTGATTTTACATTATTACATCATGTTCTACTCACCCATGAGTTTTGTGTCATTTGGAGCTGTTCCGAAGATATTCGGTTTTGTTATATCCAAATAACGTCTTCCTTTGGGCAACACGTTGAAGGCACAAACTAAACTGTTCATAATATGATCTTTATTTTATGCCAGCATTCATAACATGTAGGCGAATCACTGTCTCCAAGACATCCGTGGTTATATTTTTTAAAACCAAAGTGTAGTGATCGTTCAGCTCACTCTAAGTGACAAAGTTGCCCACCACAGTCCTGTATTCACTCTCATCACCCTTTTCAATGCAGCCAACAATTGCTGAGGATTCAGTGCAATAGTGCAATAGTGCGAGGTGAAAAGGGTGAAGAGGAAGGGGGAGAGGACAGTCCCCTGAGGGGCCCTAATGTTGCTGACCACCCTGTCAGACACACAGTTCTGTATGCATACATACTGTGGTCTGCATGTCAGGTAATCAACAATCCAGGACACGATGGGGGCCTTCACCTGCATCGCAGTCATCTTCTCACCCAGTAGAGCCGGGCGGATGGTGTTAAAGGCACTGGAGAAATCAAAGAACATGATTCTCGCAGTGCTCGCCGGCTTGATCAGATGATTGTAGACTCTGTTGAGCAGGAAGATGATGCTGTCCTCAACTCTCAGGCGGGGCTGGTAGGCGAACTGTAGTGGGCCTGACCATGGGCTGCTCCAGGACTAGCCTCTCAAAGGTCTTTTTTTAAATTACGCCCTTTTAATTTTGTACACACTCTGTGTATACAAAATGACAATAAAGTTTGTCTAAGTCATTTTATGAACAGCTATTTTTACAATTGTTTTCTGGTTATTTTCTTGTTTTGTTTTACTCCATTGATTTGTTTTATGATATATTGATATAACACATCCAAAGTCATGAGAAAGCTTTTTTTTGCCCTTCAGCCAGGATGTTATTTTGAGTACTTTGTTTATGCAGGGTGTATATGCAGTAAGCAACTTCAAGCCAAGTGAAGACCGCTCCAGAAGTCGACTGAATCTACTCCTCCTTAAAGAGCCACAACTTACTTCCCTCCCAAATGTCAGCCAATCCGCAGTTAAAAACAGCCATCAAGGTAAAATTTTATTATATTTGAATTAGGAGAATGTGTCGGAAATTCTTCAAGATAAATATGCTGGAGTTAGCGCAGAGTTACAATGTATCTGTTGCCGTAAGGTAGTTGAAAGCATTTAAAATATATTTAACAAAACAGCATTTTTACAGGAAAGCACAGACACAAAACATGTCAAAAGACTATCAAAAATGAAATAAACTATTTCTGGTTAAACGAGCCCAGAATTAGTTATCTATGGTTGCATGACTGGTAAAAATGAATTGTATTCACAGTTCACCATCACCATTAAGCTGGATTTACTCCTATGTCTTTGAACATTACAGACCCCTCTGACAAAGATAAGGCTTTTTTGACCTTGTTGACAACTTCCTAGCAGAAGACTGTCAGCATGAGATAATCTCCCATGACTAGACGGATTTAAAGAGTTCAGTCACTAAAGTCAATTGTTTATTGTTTACTATACAAAAGCTTCAAGGAGCCTTTCTATACTTAGGATAATCATTAATAATTCACTTATGAAAAAAAGGATGACACTTTGTAAACAAGAGAGAGGTCTGCTGCAAATAATACAATTAATACACGTTTTACCAATATTGAAAAAACCTTGTTATGATTAAAATTTAAGATCCTTTTTTAAGCGCATTGCAAAATTAGAACCATCTTAAAAGGTATGCATTGTGTCAATGTTTAAAGATTCCTAAATCATCTTAAGGATTTTAAAAAGGACTGCAATCAATTACATTTATATAGGGCCAATTCAAAACATGTAATCAAAAGGCATTTAACAGAGACAATTCAGTCAGATCT